ATAGATGCGGGCGATGGCAATGAACCAGCTCTGAAAGGTCAAACGACGGCTTCCATAAATGTCAACAATGCTGAGGAGTCAGCAGCTGGTGAGATTAATTTAGCTTGATTGACAACCCGAGAAGCCGCAAGTAGCTAAGTCGGTCATAAGGATGGTTTTCAAGTCACTCAAAAATTTGTCGAATCGTTTTAATTTTCCGACTTTAATGAGATGCAAAATAAGGTTACCTGAGATTTTACTCACTTAGGCCTTGCATTGGTCCTCTAGGGTGGATTCGTTTACCGCATTTGCCCGCTGGAATTTTTTATTGTTTTTAGGCTAGGGCCCTCTGTCCGTATTGCTTGGACTCCAATTTCCATGTATTAGTCATTTAATAATTAATATACACTAAAAAATTACTCAATTCTGATTGGCTGAAAAAGAAGTGCAGTTCTCCTGTAACACAAGTGCAAGTTTGTAACACGAGTGCAAATTGCAAATGGTTTTTGATTGGTTGAAAAAAGCAAAAGAAACCAACAAGAGCCAATCAGATTAGAGCTATTTAATAGCAACAAAGTTTAAGATAAGACATGCGGGATAATGGCCGTCGTTTTCAGCAAACAACGATTTGATTTTGCATGCAAAACAACAATAGAACAGTTAAAATATTACAAAAACCCAAACACAGTAAAAAGTACGTCTTTCTGGCTGAATGTATTGAAAATGTGTTGCGAGCGCCTAACAGGCAGCACACGTGCCATTTTAGCTCTCTAATTTTTTACCCTTTTTAACCTTCTATTCGACCCTATGAAACCGTTTCACTAATATTATACGTCTGTATATCGCTTGAATGGCAAGGATTTAAACATGTTCGTTCCTTACTGGTATTTTGTCATCAACTTCACCGAGGCGTTTGTCCACGGGTCTTTGGCGTTGTAGTAGTGATGGTTATCAAAAGTACCTCACTGGCATAGATAAACGGTTTCAGCTCTATCCGACCATTACAAATAAAGTTCTCTCACTTTTGAATCGTCTAAATAGGTCAAAGGCAGCTGGCCTTGACAAGATATCTGCTAGGCTCATTCGGGAATGTGCAGATCTCATTTGCATTCCTATCCGTGATATTTTTAACCAGTCAATAAGTCAAGGCATATTTCCGGATGACTGGAAATGCGCAAAGGTCACCCCACTGTTTAAACAAGGCGATCGGGACGACTTAAATAATTATCGTCCAATTTCGGTGATCTCAGTTATGGCCAAGGTCTTTGAAAGAATCGTCTATGATCAATTATATGCCTACCTAGAAGAGCACAATATAATCTGTAAATATCAATCAGGCTTTCGCGCTATTCACTCAACTGTCACGGCTCTCCTTGAGGCCACGGACACTTGGGCGTACAATATTGACCGCGGTAAAATCAACGCCGTTGTTTTCTTAGATCTCAAAAAGGCCTTCGACACAGTTGACCATGAGATCCTTTTATCAAAATTAAGCAATTACGGCATATATGGTAACGCGCACCAATGGTTTAAGTCATATTTAGAGAATCGTACTCAAATGTGCTCCATCAATGGATCGCTCTCTCAAAGCTGTTTATTAAGTTGTGGTGTTCCCCAGGGGACGATTTTAGGTCCATTACTATTTCTGTTATACATCAACGATCTTCCAAACTGTCTTTCAAATTGTGAGCCGAGGATGTACGCTGATGACACCCACCTTACATACGCAGGTGATAATGCAGACAATATTCAGTTGCATCTAAATCAAGATTTAGAAAATGTTCACAATTGGCTGAGAGCAAACAAACTTGCTCTAAATATGACTAAAACCGAATTTTTAAAGCTGACGAATTTTGTACCGTGGATAAATAAAGATTATCTATCTATCTATCTATCTATCTATCTATCTATCTATCTATCTATCTATCTATCTATCTATCTATCTAGTTGACCATGGAATATCAAGGACGACGCTTACACGTCGCGGATGTGAGCAGGACGGCAGAAACAAAGTCTTTCTGGTGTGACTTTGTCAACCTTGAGCCTTCAATCGAGTCAAATCCTATCTTACAAACCTTCGGTTCCGACAAATACGGCCATTAATGGCGGAGTTGAACAGCATTTGCATTTTTCTTTGCCTGGAACATTAAATATATTTAGTCTGACACCTCGTCCTGCAGTTTCATCAACAATGCTATTATGAAGCGTCATTCACCCATGGCGGATTCTCTGCAAAACACTATGTGGGACTTCTCGCGAGACTCAGGATCGCTACATAACTCGAGTTATCATGCGCCGAAAATTATAGTTGTTGATGCAATGTCTCTTGCACCCAAGATCACCGAAGTGCAGGAATTCATCGATAGGAATAAAGTTAGCCTCGCTTTCGTAACGGAAACGTGGCTAAAATCTGCTGTGGAAGACACTGCTGTGGATATTCCTGGCTTTTCCATTGTACGGAGGGACCGGGCATCCAATGCACACGGCGGCGTTTGTCTTCATATCAAGGACGATTACTTTAGATTTAAAAAGCTTAAGGAGTTAAGGTGCTGTAAAGATCATGAAAGCCTATGGGTGCGTTTGCGACTAGCCTGCGTAGCAGGCGTTAAGGGGGGAGGGTAAGAAAGAGAAGAAGGGAAACGCCTGCTACAAAAGCCGCGTCTTTTGCATTTCGCCCCTTATTTCAATTATCCCAGCTGTCACTTCAACGACCAATCAGAATTAGGCGTGCGCTTTTATGCATGACTAACTTCACGCGGGAGTGTATCGCCAAAGGCGGTTTCGTAGCTGTAGAGCATGAGAAAATCTTCGCAACAGAATGTCGCCGCCGCGACTCCCACATAAATTTGTAAAAGGGGACGGAAACCCAATATAAACGTTAAAAAAAAAACAGTAGTTGTAGATTTTGTGGAGTCAACTTTACTTCTGGGGGAGGACGAGCCTCATTTGAAAATTTATTTTCGCCGTCGTCGGGAAGAGGTGGTGCGGGGTTGATTTTAGCTCATTGTTGCTGCTCTTTTAGGCTGAGATTAACCAGAAACGAAAACTTGTCAGAACGGGTCTGCAGACCTTATGGTCGCAAAATTATAAACGCAGCTGAACTGTACAGTTTCATCGAGAAAGCTGTAAGCAACACTAATGTTGAGGAAGATTTACATTAAGAGGCTGTGGAAGATCGAGGAAAAGGCAGCTTCCCACCACTATCAGGCCACAAAGGAGCGATGTAGGAAAGAAACGACGCGAATCTGACGGTGAACAGCTGAAAAAAAAAAGTCCAGGTTAATTCTAGAAAGATCTTGTTTGCAGAAAGCTCGACAGTGAGTGACTCGTAGGACGCAGAATTCGGAATTGCTGGTATTGAAATTAACATTTCATACACAGACGCCTGAGCAAGTAACGCTTACACTCGTCAGACAAGAGGCCGATATTTTGTTGAATTATTGTAATATAGAAGATATTACGGGAAAGCCAAGCACCCAGCTTAAGGCACCGGTATTGAATCCTAACGGAGAAATCATCGTTCGCAAAATGTTTGACAACACGACGCAGGCTAATTGAAATCTCCAGTTTGGTTTGCTGAACAAGCTTGTTGTATTGTCTGATTAACCAATCAGAATTTGCGGACGCCAGCGTCTGCAGAGGTGAACAAAACGGGGTTCTTATAGCAGGCGTTCCCTTCCTTCTCTCTCCAATCCCCTTTCCTTTTTTTTCCTACCTCCTTCTTTTCTTTCTTACCCTCCCTCACTCCCCCCCCCCCCCCCCCCCCCCCCCCCCCCCCCCCCCCCCCCCCCC